ACTACCTATCACTTTACCTAAATCATGGACAAAAAGATGCTAAATAGCACAGGACAAATCAAGGTCTTGGAGATACTCGGGAGAAGACATCCTTCCACATTGACTTACTATTAACAGTGACATTTTGGGTCTAGTCAATAAGTCAGTGCTGAATCCACCCAATTGTACTCTGATCTCATTTATAACTTTTCATCTTAACCATAAGACTAGAGTGAGAGATTTGATTGGGCATTTGCTAAAATATGTCAACTATACCTAAAATATTTGCCTGGCCTATCAGTTTAATAACTCTGTGAAAAATGGAAATCAGTTTAGTCTGGCATAATCTAACCTTGAGGATACCATGCTAATTTTGTGATTATTATTCCTTTTCTTAAATATAAATTAACTATACTTTTATTAATACATTCTAGAATTATACCAGGAATCCAAGTCAACCCCATGAACCTAGAAGTTTTGACTCAATTTGCTACATTTTTTAAAATCAGGACAATGTTTTCCTTTGTCCAATGTTGCTATCTTTCTCTTGTTCTGAGTCTTTCAAGTATCCCTAACAATCACTCAGCGCTCTCATCAACCAGTTCTTTCAGTACCCAAAGATGTAGTTCATCTGCACCGGGTAACAAACTCAAGAGACCAAGGAACTTTCTTACCTTCTCTTCTAAGTATTAGGTGCCCTTCTTAGGAACTCCCTATCAGTCATTAATGTTCTGTCCTTCCAGTCCAAAAGTCATTCTTCTTGGCAGAGAAAACAGAAACAAAATAAGTATTGAGTGTTTCTCTCCTCTCTGTTTTCAGTTATCATCATCCCATTCACCCAGAACAACAGTTCTTTCATCTTCGTGTTTTCCTCAATCTAGCTAATTTTTCATAACCCCAATTCTTTTCATATTCTTGGCTTTCTTCCCCATCTCATCCCATTTTGAGCTTCAGTAACCTTAAAAGTATTGTTACAGAAATGTGCCATGTTTTTGTATTCATCCTTCATTACCTATTACACACACACACACACACACACACACACACACACACACACGTAAAGCTCTTTGCAAACTTTTAAGTGCTATGTAAAGGCAACCTATTGTGTATATTATATATGATACAATTACATTACCATTGATTCTGTTGCCATTAGTGTCTTAAAAATCTAAGTTGGTAGGTGAATTTCCTGCGCATTCCCATTTTTATCTTTAGAAAACCTTCCTCTTGTCTCCTCCTTGAAATTGTTTCTCTTCAGTTCAGCAGAATTTCATTGTTGAGTTTCCAGTTTCCCCTGGGAAGACCTCCCTTGTACAATTTTAGTGTATGCACCCTACCCACCCTCTCACTGAATCCTTTGATATCTGCCCTCCCCAGATCTAGGCAGCACGTCAAATCATTTCCAACTATCTTCTCCTCTATCACAAATTCCAAGATGGCAGGGTCCCTTACCTCCTCAAGATTCCTATCATTTCAACCCCTTCCACAGCCATTTCCTCCTTATTCCTCAGATCCAGAATAGAATCTCTCTTTGTTGGTTCCTCCACTTTTTGAAAAATAAGATTATCATTAAGTGAAGTGATGAAATTCTTGCCTATTCTGCCTTTTTTTTTTAAGAGAAAGCCCAGTCAATGACCAGATAAGCAAAGTCCCCTATCACAACTATATTATTCCTCTGTTGTAGGCTTATAATCTCCATCATACTTCTCTTCTCTTGTCCTTGGACTTCTTCACATGGGTATATCTCTTAATATACAATACTACACTATCAACACATCAGCCCCTATACCCATATCCATACCCACAAATAGTGTATCTTTTGAATAAGATCCTTATTCAAAAATGAGATTTGAATATGTGGCCACTGCTGCCACCCAGAGACCACTGATTACCATCACCACTCACTCCAGGCACAGAATACTCAGTCCTGGATAAAAATCAGCTGGTCCAGAAGACCAGACTGACCAAGTCAGAAGTGAGACACGATAGCATGTAACCCAACAAAGACATGAATTATCCGATGAAGAGAGGGATCCTTTCTCCATTGCTTACAAAAACGTCATAGGAGCCCAGAAGTCACCTTCGAGTATCATTTCAAGTACTGAGCAAAAGACGAAAGGTGCTGAGAAAAAAAAGCAAGAGATAGCCTCAGAATATAGAGAGAAAATTGATTCATCAATGAGATATTTGCACTGTCTCTACCAGAAAAAGTTTTTGATCCCCAATGCTTCACAAGCTTTAGAAAGCAAAGTTTTCTATATGAAAATTAAGGAAGATCATGACTATTACTTGGCTGAGATTGCCGTTGAGGATGGCAAGAAAGAAATAATGGATTAATCACAACAAACATATCAAGAAGCATTTGAAATCAAGAAAAAAGTAACGCAACCAAACCATCCATTAAGTTTGGGTCTGGCCCTGAACTTCTCCATGTTTTACTATGAGATCCTGACCTCTCAAGAAAAAGCTTGTTCCCTCTGGATAACAGCCTGTGTCAAGGCCATTACCAAATGGGATGTGATGAGTGAAGAATCATACAAGAACAACACACTAATAATGCAAATGCTGAATGAGAATGTGGGATGGCGGACATCAATACAATGCCAGTAAAAGTCACTGCGTATCAAACATGGTAGTGAAACAAAAAGGATAAATGTAAAAAGTATGTCACTTCTGACCTGTTTAACTTTTTTGCTTCTGTGATTTTTTTATACTTGCCAAATAGGCATAGCTAACAGGGAAATAACTTTTTTAAATTTTTTATTAATTTATTTTGACTTATCAACAATCACTTCCATATGCTTTTGAGTTTAAAATTTTTCTCCCCCTTCCTCCCCACCACCCTTCCGAAGAAGGCACACAATCTGATATAAGGCTATACATATGCATTCCTATTAAATATATTTTCACATTAGTGATGTTGTAAGTAAAAATTAGAACCAATAGGAGGAACCACCAGAAAGAGGAAACTAAATTTAACAGAAGAGGGAAAAAATAGCAATTCAACTTCCATAGTTCTTTCTTTGGATGTGGATAGCATTTTCCATCACAAGGCCTTTGGAGATGTCTCAGATCCTTGTATTGCTGGGAAAGATTAAGTTTATCAATATTAGTCATCGCACAACGTGGCTGTTAATGTGTACAATGTTCTCTTGGTTCTGCTAACTTCACTCAGCATCAGACCACACAAATCTTTCCAGGTTTCTCTGAAGTCAGCCTGTTCATCATTTCTTACAGCACAATAGTATTCCATTACATTCATATACCACAACTTGCTCAGCCATTCCCCAATTGATGGGCATCCTCTCAATTTCCAATTCTTTGCCAAAAAGCTGCTATGAATATTTTTGTACATGTGGGTTAACGGAAATAGCTTGAGATGGTGGCTAGCTTTGTTTAACATCTCACAAAAAGTTTGATGAACTGGCTGAGCGTAATTGTTAAGACCATGTATATCAAATTGATGAAGTGGAATAAAATGTTATGAATGAAAGGATATAGAATAAGCTATACTCTTTTAGAATAGAAGATGAAAAGAACGTGACTGGATAAAGGGAAGTTTGTTGATGATAGAACAAGGATTCCAGAGATAACTCTTCAGCTCATCACTTTCATAGGGGAATTTAAACAGATTTCATTCTATCATGGAAATGATGGGAACTCTAGAAGGATAGAGCTAAAGTGAATGGGGATGAGCAAATAAGGAGCAGCAGCTGGCAAAGTATATTTTTGCTTCAGTAGACAGGGACTGGGAATTAAAGGGATTAGAGGAGGATTAGGTAGGAATTTGCTAGCCATGGGATTGGGCCAGTACCAGGTGACTGGGGCTCTAACCTTTTAGAATCACAGAATAGTAGAAGGGTTAGTTTGTTCTCCATCCAAAAACCAAGGAAGAAGAGATGAGCCAGAAGGGAAATCAGGTTGGGCATCTAGGTTGCTAAATAACCGCTGATTGGATCCTCAGGAACCTGAGTTCATACTTGGTGCTCTTGCCTCATCTCAAGATGATAAGTGCTGATGAATATCCAGAAAACACCTTGAGCAGGGGAGCATGCACTTGGCTCCAGGTTGGTCCTGGTGTCTGAGCCACTGATCCTCAGCAAGACTGTTATCAAAGGGCCGAGTGTCTGAGTGCTCGGTGGTCACACAAGACAGATGTTTGGTTTTCTGCATAGATGTTTCAGTAAAGTGAAACAGGTAATGTTTCCAGATGTGGCAGTAGACTTCAGAGCAAGAAGACATTCATATACAGTTTCTGAAAGAGTCCAGGATTGAAGCCTCACTTTCATGGGTCCAGGGATGACAAAGAAAGTTGGAGCTGGGTCAAGGACATAGGCCCACCTACCTGGGGGCCTAGCTGTTATGGTCAACTGAGGCACTGCTGTTTTCTCAGGCCATAATGGCAATCTATCCTATATGTGGTGGTCTCCTGACACCTACTTGGCTTCCAAGGACAAAGTACTTGGTAGTAACAGAAGGTTGTACCATGGCATGTTTTCAGAAGGTCCAATAGCCACCGTATGTGGTAGTAGATTCCAGATCAGTAGGTTTTAGGTTAAGGAATGTTCTGTAGCCAGTCTCTAAAAGGGGCAGAGATAGACCTGTGCAGACACTGGGGGAGATACAAAGATTAAATAAGCCCTGGTCTTCTCCTCCAGAAGTTTAGAATCTAGTCTATCTGATGAAAGCCTACTCTCAGATGTTTGGAAGGGATCTGATCACCTCATTTGCTTTAAGGTGTTATTGATGGGGGGTAACTTAATGGTCACCAATTGAATGTGACAGAATGTAACCCAAAAAAGTATAGCTACCTCAGTAGAATCCCAGGCACCAATAGCAGCCCTATAAGAGAAATTACTATGGGGTCAAAGAAATCCCTCAAACTCTACCCCATAGGTCACCATCTATTCTCAGTATCTGAAATCCTGAGGAATTCTGACTTATTTAAACTTGTGTGTCATTGACATAAAACAGGAAACATGCAGAGTTTTTAATATAGAGGGTTTTGTTGTTGTTAACAGGTAAAACAGTCATATCACATAGAAATGGTGGAGGCCTCTTTGACTATTTCAGCCTCGGGTAAGTAAAATATTTGTGAACTGGAGAGAGAGAGAGAGAGAGAGAGAGAGAGAGAGAGAGAGAGAGAGAGATAAGAGAGAAATATATAGGTTTCAACTTTGAGAATCTGACTCCAAATCCAGCACTTTTGGGGTGAGTAGGAGTGCTATATTATGCTACCTATAGTAAATAAAATTCTCTGCTAAGAACTAAAAGCTATAGGGCAAAAGATCTATTGGATACTACTGGAGTGGTTTGCCATTTCCTTCTCCAACTCATGCTACAGATGAGGAACTGAAAAAAAAAACAGGGACAAGTGGCTTGCCCAGTGTTACATAGCTAGTAAGGGTCTGAGGCCAGATTTGAGCCCAGGAAGATGAGTCTTCCTGACGCCAATCTCAGTGTTCTAGCCACCACTGAGCTTAATAAATATGTTGAAATGAACTGAATTGACAACCCTTCCATGATCCTTTCTAGCTATAAGATGACTCAATGAATCAATAAGTATTTATTAAGTGCTTATCATGTGCCAGCCATTATACTAAGTGCAGGAAATACATAGAAACAGCTAATATAGCTCCAGCCCTCAAGGGGCTTACATTCTAATTAGAGAGAATAGATCCGAGGTAACCTTGGAGCTGAAGGCACTAGTAGCTGGGGGGATAGCAAAGACCTCCTGCAGAAGGTGGCAAGTGAACTGATTCAGGGCTTCTAAGAGGGGGAGATGAGTAGAGAGAGCATTGCAGATGTTTAGGCAGTGTAGATCAAAGGTTTCTAAGTCCCTGTGTGTGGATAACTGAAAGTTTATAATATATGATTAGTGAATGGGATACGTACAGTGCGAGGTAGATGTACATATCAGCTCTGCCACTAGGATTTTAAATGGCTAAAGAAAAAATTCCAACCAACTCTTATTTCCTCTTTTTTTTTCCTCTTTTTAATACGGGATTTACCCATATGAGGTATGAAAAAAAATTCCCCCAAATGTCACAGGAATGTTTTCATTACCACAAAGTGGCTGACCTTCAAAAGGTCTCCAAGAAACAAGATTACCTAACCACACAGGCTACCTCCCAATTTTCTTCCACATCAGGTGATTAAAGGGGTGGCTGGCTCATCCCTTTGATGATTGTGAGTATTTGAACAGGCAAAAGTCACTCACCATACCTAATACAGCTAAAAAGCCTATGCTTGCATCCCAGGAAAGCAGAATGGTGAAAGGGAAAGAACTAAAATATCCAGGTTCAAATCCAAGCTCTAATCTAGCTTGCATGTGACTTTGGGCAAGTCCTTTACTTTCTCTGGGCCCCTGTTTTCTCGTTATGATCTCCAAAGTCCCTCCCAGCTCTAACCTTCTGATCCTTCTTGGTGTTTGCAGCGAAAGTCTACAGTGGCCAGAAAGGTGGGCTGACTATGTTTGAGACCAAGGTGGGGCACTCCTTCAAGTGTGTCAGTGAACAGAGTGTTGAGTTGTCATCCCATCTCCAGTTGCACACCGTTAATGTCCAACTCCAAGCCTTTGATTTTGATGGCGAACACTTTGGGAATGGTAAGTTAGAAGGAAGGGGAGGAAAAACTCACGGAGTTTATAGAGAGAGACATAAGAGACAGCTCCAAACATTGCTGACACAGCCATGGCAATGAACACCCTAGAAACTCTGTGTGTGTATGTGTGTGTGTGTGTGTGTGTGTGTGTGTGTGTGTGTGAACTTAGACTAGTAGGCACCTATTTGCATGCTGAAACATCTTTCTGCACAACTTGTCAGGATGTAATTACTCCCTTCATCGGCAGCATCCCCCCCCCCACATATATATTCAAACACAAAACACAATCCTCCCTATCATATACCTTATCCCATGTGCATGTACTCACTCATGCTTAGACAAGCATTCATTTATTTACACTAAATCAAACACATTCAAAATAGGAAATGTGTGTGATTTAAAGAAGGCAATGTGTTACAATGGAATGTGTGATGGAGGGGAAAGAGAGATAGAGAAGTCCCAAGTTTCAATCCTGGCTCTGCAACTTACTACTTAGGTGACAGTAGTTAAGTCATTTAACTTCTCTGGGCCTTAGTTTCCTCAATAGTAAAATAAGGAAATTATACTGGACAACTTCTAAGGCCCCTTCCTTTGATCCTACACAATCTCAACAATATAATTAAGCAGAGCCAAGGCCTTGCTCTTACAAACACACATTTATTTATTCTTATCCACATGATCAAATAAGCATGGTCAATAACATATGCATGTACACATACTTGTGCACATGTACACACATACCAAGCTTATTTACATACAGTTATATTCTTTTGGCTTGGTTGTATTGGGAGAACACCTTTGAGATCTTGTAATACTTCTCAACTCAGATCCCAAATTTGTGCTTTAAGGGGAGTTAAAATTCAGGATCTCAATTACAGAGCCTATCTCACTCTGATTACTAGAACTAGAAATTGCCATTAAAGAGAGAACTGATAATTCAAAACAACAGTAAGCCATTTTTGGAAGCCACTCCTCCTAGCTATCAGTAGCTCTCCATTACCAGCCTTAAAAAGGGCTTTCTCGTAGTCATTTATTTTCCATCCAACTTCTGCTTTGATTTTAACCACCAAGGTGAGAACTCATAATATGACTCAGAATTTTGGTATTTTGATAATCCTGGAAGTCTTCATTTTGGGTTATCTTTCAAGAGGTAACTAGTGAATTCTTTTGATTTTCACTTTACTCTCTCATCCTAGTACATCTGACCAGTTTTCATTCATGATGTCTTGAAATACAGTATACAGGATTTTTGTTTTTTTGCGGGGGTGGGGTTGATTCATAAGGGTCATGGTTTTTAGGTAGTCTGGTTATTCTTAAATTATCTCTCTTTAACTTGTTTTTTTTTCAGGTCAGTTCTTTTTTATAGTAGATACTTTACATTTTTATCGATGTTATTCAAACTTTTGGTTTTGTTCTAATATTTCTTTCAGTCTCATGGAGTCATTAAATTCAGTTTGGTTCTTTCTAATTTTCATGGAGTCTTAGATAAAATTTCTAGCTTCTGTTAGAAATTATTCTCCTTCCAATTATTTTTTTTCCAGAGCTCTCATGTCACTTATAATTTCTTTTTTACTTCTTATTTGTCCTTGTGGCTAAGCCTTTTTTTCTGAGGCTCTGCTTGTAGTTGTTGTGAAGTTAGTATTCTCTTCAATGTTGATCTCTTGGGTGTCTCTGGACCCATAATATTCCTTTGTAGTGTTTTATGTCCTCTTCTGTTGACTCATATCAACAACCTCAGCTTTCCATTTGAGTTTTTTGTCCCATGGACAGTCCCCTCTCACATTCTTGGATGAAGTGGTCAGGCCCTATTTGATCCTGAGCTCAATTTCCCAGTCTCTAGCCTTTGGTTTCTACCTATCCTTATGTGTCTCTGTGTTGAGTGGTGGCAGGCTTCAATGTCCTGGCTGGAGCTCTACAATCTACTAATCCCAATTTGGGCACTATTGTGGGCTACCAGATTGTTCACTTGAGCTCATGCTAGCTTTCCAAGTATGACACCTCTTCCAGACTCTATGGTTCCTTACTGTTTTTTTTGTGCAGTCTTTGGTTGGGTAAAGCAGCTTAATGACATTTCTATTTAGATTTCTTGATCACTATTTGATCTAGTTCCTTTTATTGGGTTTGTTTCTGAAGCAGAAAGAGGAAAATTGTACTTTTCTACAGCCACACCTTATCTTAACTGGAAGCCTCTGTTTTCATGCCTTCCTGTCTTGTTATTTTTGTCCATTTTTCCCATAAATTCTCCAAAAAATACAGTAGTTTAGAGGTGTCAATATACACTCAAACTGTTCCTTGAGAGAGTATGATACAATGGAAGACCATTGGCTTCAGAATCAACGGACCTCAGATCAAATTCCTCTTCAGCTACTTATTAGCTGTGTGTTCATGGGAAAGTCCCTTCTCCTTTCTAGGCCTTTGGTCTCTTATCTGTAAATGAGTGTGTTGGACTAGATGAGCTCTAAGATTCTCTCCAGCTCTAAATTTATGATCCTGCCATTTCTCAATCTTGCTACATGACCAGCCCATTTCCTTTCCTGGTCAGTCATAAAGATATATATGAGCATTACAGCATAGTAAAAAGACACTGACTTTACAATCAGGGGATATGGGTTCAAGCTGTGCCTCTCTCATGTACTAGCTGTGACCTTAGAAAGTCCCTTTACCTCTCTGGGCCTCACTTTACTCATCTATAGAACAAGGGGATTAGATCAGATGGCCTCTAAGATCTCTTCCAGCTCTAAACGAAATCATAGGATCCTCTGAACATTTTTTTAAAGGTGATATTAAAAACATTTCATCCTGCTGCCTACTTGGCTGAAAATAGATTGCTAGCTCATCTTACCCTATCCCTAGCAGTGCCTATTGACCACTTGACTTTGAGAAAATCACTAAACTTTTTCCCCTTCAATTTCCCCATGTGTAAATTTCGGGCTGGCATGTACATCAGTTCCTCCTGGCTGCCCCTGCCCAGCTGTAATATTTCTCACTCTAACTTCAATTGCAGCGGATGAATGCTTCAGTGATAAAAACAGGAGAGCAATCCCTGTGGCTGTGGGCCTGAGTATCGCAGGATTGTTTGGGGTTTTGCTTACTGCATGCCTTGTTGCCAGGAAGCGGCCCAGCAGAGGATATGAACGTGTCTAAAAGCACCTACCTTCTTCAAAATGTGCGTAGCAAGTTCAATGGCATTGGGCATTGCCTTACTACAGCTCAGCCTAGTAACAAGGGATTGACTCTTTCTCTGACTGGTTACTGTACCCTAAGAATTCAGACAGGAGACTCTGGAATGAGGCTGCCCAGCCACTATGCCAGCAGGATTGTCTGGGGCCCGGGGGAGAGAAAGGCAGCTGGGACAGGAGTTGCTAGAGTCTCTCCTTATGGCTTACTCAGGCTGACTTGTAAATCTCTCATTTCTGTAAAGGAGTGGAGAACAAAGTGAGCCAGTGGTGAGCTGGGCACCCATAAAAGGAAGAAAACTTCTCAAAATTTAGGAGACATGTTCCCCAACTGTGCACATGCTTCTTGTATATTTTGCAGCTAATCTGAGTTTTTTTGTATTATTAAGAATATGATTTTTTTTTAAATCAGTGCACTTAGACAAATCTATATGGGTTTCCAGAAATCTTTTAAAACTTTTAGATTCAGGACCAAAATCCAACTTCAGATTATGATTGAGTTGAAAAATTGACAAATTTTGCAAGAAATGAGTATATTGTAGAGGGATATCTATTAGTCATTTTAAAAAATTTTCTAAATCTTTACATTTCATTTAAGATTCATTTATTCTCTGTTCTCTTGATCCTCTTTCCCCCATTCTATTTATCTGTCTCTGGCATATCCGTTGTCCCTGCTCTATGCTTCCTGATTTCCTCTTCTATATTTTGGGACAGTTTGGATATACTTTTTTTCTTTTGCAAAACATTAAAACATAATCAGACGGACAGCTAGGTGGCGCAGTGGATAGAGCTCCGGCCTTGAAGTCAGGAGGACCTGAGCTCAAATCCGACCTCAGACCAAATACTTGACACTTACTAGCTGTGTGACCCTGGGCAAGTCAGTTAACCCCAATTGCCTACAAATTAAAACAAACAAACAAACAAACAAATAAAGTATCAAGAAATCCCAAATTGAGTTACTTATGATTGCATGCCCCAGATGTCCATTACAACTCTTCTCAATTAATGGCAAACCATATTCTCCAGAGCAACTCAGGGCTGATGGAGCCATAGACAGAATGCTCAGTAGAGGAAACAGTAGAAAGAATATTGGTTTAGGAGTCAGAAGACCAATTCTAAGATCAAATATGATCTCAGAAAATTACTACCAATATCAGTTTGGTCAAGCCACATAAAACCCAAGGCCTCAGTTTCCTCATTTATAAATGAAAGGGTATGCAACCTCTGAGGGATCATGGCTCTAAGACTATGACAGGCTTTGAGGACAAGAAATGGGGCTCACATATCTGCCTAGTTTCATTTAGCTATTAAAGGAACCTCACATTCATCTGAAGTTCCTGTATTATCATGTTTGAAATATCAGTGAATACTAAAATTGCCTTCATGACACATTGTCCATATGTCCTGTTCTAGCATGAAATGTAAAGCTATCATTAATCTCGCTGTTATAGTCCCGAAGCAAGACTAATCTTATATTGCTAGGAAGTTTTTCCAGACCAAAATTTTGTTGATTAAATGAGATACCTGGGATGATGCAATGGAATTAAAAGTCCAGAACATAAAAATGTCAGTTCTGTTTGTTTTCCATTTCTCTTTTTTACAATCATTAATATTATTTGATGCTGGTTATCATAGAATCATTAACCTCCTCTGTAAAGGAATAAGGTTGGATTAGATGATCTCTAACGTTCCTTCCAGCTCTAAATTCTAAATTTGGTAGAATGTTTCCAAGCCAAATTTTCTTGAGTCATAGTTGCAGCTGAAAGGGAGCAGGGAAGAGTTCCCCTCTATAGTGGGCAATACAGAGTTTGGAAGTGTTTTGGTTAGAATGGTGTCAAATCATGGTTTATATCAAAGGGATAAGCTGGCCTCCTCATTCCTCTTGGGTCCTGCCTTTGTACAGCTCATAGCTTTGAAGCTGTGCTCTAAGGCCAACAGGGCTGTGGAATGAGGGGTATTAAGGGGCATGGAAATGTGCCAAGATAAGTAGAATGATACGGGGGTAAGAAGCACTCCACCAGGCCATGATGGCACTCAAGCAGCTGGTGGCCTTGACATCTGGCTCCTGAGAGAAAGAGGACTCCTTACTATCTCGTTAATTCCCAAAATAAGCTAGCAGTTGCCCATCTGGTCTAATACCTGGGAACGCTGGCTGTAGCTCTTGCTGACTGATGCAGTGGGACCTTTCCCTGGTTTCCAGCTCTCTGCTAGCTTGCCTATCTTGCACCTGCTTCCAAATCATTCTCTCATTCTATAGGTTTTCTATTACGTTTTTTCTAATGATATAGAGCTTTTCAACCTGAATTTCTACTTCCTCCCCTCAATGCTGACTAGGCTTCTCAGGTCTCTTGCCAGGGAGATGATACTAGATTCCAATGGGTACTGTGGGCAAAGGGTTTTCCACTCAGCAGAAGGGGACCAGGGACTCTTAACCTGAGATCCATTTGGGGTTTGGGAACTTAGATGGGAAAAATGAATATTGGTTTTGTAATCCTATGTATTTTATATTATGCATTTAAAAATATTATTCTAAAACAGAATCCTCAGGTTTCACTAGATTGCCAGAAGGGTCTGTGACACATACAAGAGGAAAAGAACCCTTGGTGCTCGACTAAAATAAACTTTAAAGCTCCCTTCCAGCCTGTGATTCTGTCATTTGTCCCAACTCAGTCACATAATACTCTGCTATATATTCAAACTGATTCAGAAGGAAAGAACACAATGATGTTGCTAGAAACAGGTATCTTTCTTCAAGACAAATGTAGATTAATTTTTTAATTATGAATCACAGTCCACCGGAATAAAGTAAAATACTGATTTGCCAAGTTGGCTAAGATCATCATTTTTAGCTTTCATAAATACGTGGTCGTGAAGCATAATGGTTAGAGGGCCAGCCTTGGAATCAGGAAGACCAGGGTTCAAAATCTGCCTCTATTACTGACTGTGTGACGCTCAGCAAGTCACATAACCTCTTAATGTCCCTGGGCAAGTCACATCACCTCTTAATGTCCCTGGGCAAGTCACATAGCCTCTTAATGCCCCAAGCAACTTTCTAAGACTAAAAGTTATAGATAACTTTTACTGAATGGTCAAGGAAAGTTCTACATAGAAGTTCTCCATAGAGATAAGACTTTTCCTTCCCCTGCCTCCCCCTCCCAAAAAAAACCCCCAAAAACAAAAAACACCTAAGGCAGGACTGTTTTCTAACAATTTTGGTTCATTGAAAGAGAGAAAAAAAATCATGAAAATCTAAATATTATTACCAAGTAGAAAGTATGGGTGATCTAATGTTTTCAAAATACTACCTATCTAGTGATATAAATTATCTTCAATAATATTTGAGACCCTGCTCTGCAGGGCAAAAGTCCACAGAGAACTCATTATCTGGAAGACTAAGTCATCACAGCCTTACTCTTTGCCTACTAGCCTGTATCTGCCTCTTCTTTTAGTGATCGAGTGTACATCTGACTACACAATTATGATTCCAGTGATCGTCGTGATAGTCATTCCTCTCTGCATCCTAGTCTTGGTTTTCTTCGGAATTCGTCTGAGGAGAAAATCCTTGGGGTACCAGAGGATCTAGTCGGTATAAGGAATCCCAGAAGAAATGAAAGGGTTTGGAATTCTTTTATCATCTCCAGACCTTAAGGAATTCCTTTGTAGTATGTGCTTAAAGTAACGTTCATTGCTGTGGTCTCAAACTCCAGCATTTCCCAAATTTATCCAAGCTAAATGTTCATGGTTTGGTGCGGGGAGAGGGAGAGAGGAGGGGGGAAGGTGCTAGAGTGACAAGATTTAATTGGTTATTGAAGGGCACTAATTGGTTTCCCCAGTAAGAGGCATTCCATCCAAAGGAAACAAGAGCACTAAAATAACAAAGTGCTTTCTGAAATGGAACAAGCCTTTGCACCTGTCCATCACACAGCTGGCTGTTAAAGGGGCCTGCACTGTTTGTTGTTAGTTTTTATCATTTGTTCGGGAGATGTGGCCTCCTTGGCCAAAAGTTAGACTTTCTTTTTTGTCTTTGACATTATCAAGGTATTTTCCTACTCTGGGCTTCAGTTTTCTCATCTATAAAATGGGAGGATTAGTCTCCTGGCCTCTGGTCCCTTCCAGCTCTAAATTCATGAACCTATGACCTCTCTGGGCCTCAGTTCCCTTGGGGGGGGTGGATTCCATAGCTTCCAGCTCTAGATCTGTGTTCCTTTGAACTCTGCCAAGAAGAATGCAAAGGCAGTGCTTTTGCTGGCTCTTTATTTTGTGCTGTGAGCGTGCTAGTTGGTATCTCAGAATTTTGATGTAAGGTGGTAAAAGTAAAAAAAAATTAATGTCTGTATCTTTTATATGCATTTATATAAATGTTTGTTTTTCATCTTTCGATCCCCCACTCCTAGCACAGAGCCTTGTACACAGTTGGAATTTAATAAATGTTTGCTGAATTGAATAGAATTGAACAGAATTGAATTATATACACTCCTCTCTTAAAGCAACAATTGACTGAAGGGAGAAACAGATTAACGGGTATAAATAAGAAACCAGAAAATCCACTCCCAGTATCACAGATTTAAGGTGGAGAACTTGGAAAGCATGTCATCTAACGCCTTCATTTTACAGTCAGTTGGTCAGCAATTATTCATTAAGCACTTTGTACATGCTTGCCACTATAATACATACTTGAGTTCCAAAGAAAGGCAAAAACAGCCCCTGCCCTCCAGGAGCTCACATTCTAACGAGGAAGACGACATGTAAATAAATAGGTAAATACAAGATATATATTGTTTGTCCTTCATTCTCAAAGAGGATCGTGACATCAGGAAGGTAATGTCATGACTTACAAGGGAATTGGATTTAAGTGAGGCAGGGCTGTGCAAGTCTCCAGCTTCCCCTTCTCCTCCAGTCCCATTTGGGTCCAGTGGCAAGACATAGATCAGGATGACTGGAGATGACCCTGAATGCAGCAGGGAGACCTTGGCCCTTTTAAGCTAAGGTTCTTTCCAGGTCTGAGTCTGTCTGAGGCAATGCCCATTCAGTGATTAAGGCTAGGTAAAAATGAGGCAAAGAATGGCCTCTTTTACCTAGTTAAAAAAAATCAATCTGGGAGGGGAAGACCCTCAAGGGTCTTTGCTATTTACACTTGCTATTTACACTTACTCTGGCCATCAGAACCCAAACAATGACTGCACAGTGAGGTTTGGGCTGGGACCTATTGTTGACCAATCAATGAGAGTCAGAGTGATTTGGGTTTAAGGAAGGAAGGAAGGAAAGAAGGACATACAAGACATACACAGAGTAAATGGAAAGTAATCCTAGAAGGCAAGGTATTTACAGCTCGGGATGGTGGTGGTAACTAACACTAAGATTCTACAAGATGAGGATTGAGAAAAAGCTTTTTGGTTTGGCAATTCAGAGATCAAGGGTAACTTTGAAGAGAGCAGTTTTGGTTGAATGATGAAACCAGAAGCCCAGACTATAGAAGATTTTAAAAAGAATTAGAGTTAAGGAAATGGAGACATCAAATACAGATGGCCTTCTCAAGGAGTTTAGCTGAAAAGTGGAGAAGAGCTATCTATTGGCACTATGGGAAGAAGAGAGGACAAACTTCCTCCTGGAGAAGTCAAATGACAGATAATGGATAAAAGGGGCAGCTAGGTGGTGCAATGGATAGAGTGCCCATTCTGGAGTCAGGCAGACTCATCTTCCCGAGTTCAAATCTGGCCTCAGACATTTACTAGCTGTGTGACCCTGGGCAAGTCACTTAACCCTGTTTGCCTCAGTTTCCTTATCTGTAAAATGAGTTGGAGAAGTAAATGGCAAACAGCTCCAGTATATTTGCCAAGAAAACCTCAAAATGGTGTCACAAAGAGTTAGACGCTACTGAAAACAACTGAACAATAACAACAAAAATGAATAACAAGCATTGTATTATAAGATAATGACTCTAAATCATCACTGAGTCTTAGACAAATACACTCCCCAGTTTTATATAGCAATGGGTTTATTTTGATGCATGAAACATGTAGGCTAGAAACAAAGAATAATTTCCTAATAGTGAAGGTTTTTCAGCAAGTGGTTGAGGAAAAAAGAAAGATTTTAAATACAGGATAACTTCTGAGCTGTCCAGGAAAGAGCTGGGGCTCTTTCCAAGGATAGTTCAATGGACAACAGGACCTCTGAAGTTCTTGTCCAATGCTATGATTCTATTCCAACCCTCTTCAATTCTTCCAAATCCTGTGTATCTATTCCTTATTCACAAGAGCATAGCACCATCTTGTGGCCATGTAAATGAGAACGTTCTAAAGAAGCTGACTACTTCCCAGAGTAAAGGCAGACATAGAAATATTGTCACCTCATTATAAAGAACACCCAAAAATAAGTTTAAGGAGTTTAGGAAACAGATTTTAAACGTAGTACAGAAAAATGCATCTCCTAGAACTCTCTGCAGCAAATAATGTCTTAGATTATATTACTAATATCAAAACTAATAATCTATATTTATAGAGCACATTGAGTTTTTTTATTTTAAAAATTACTATTTATTTTTAATATTTATTTTTAAAAATTGCATTCCAAATTTTCTCCCTCCCTCTAACCCATCCCCCACCCATTGAGAAAGCAAGTGTTCTCCTGGGTTCTACTCACTTCACTCTGCATTGATTCATATAAGTCTTCCCAGGTTTTTCTGAAAATCCTGCTCATTATTTCTTTTGGCACAATAGTATTCCATCACAATCATACACAACGACTTGTTCAGCCATTCCCCAATGGATGGGCATCCCCTCAGTTTTCAATTCTTTGACATCACAAAAAGAGCTGCTATAAATATTTTTGTACAAATAGATCCTTTTCCCTTTTCTTTAATCTCTTTGGTACCCAGACCTATTGGTACTATTGCTGGGCCGAAGGGTACGCACAGTTTTATGGCCCTTTGGGCATAGTTCCAAATTATTCTCCAGAATGGTTGGGCCAGTTCACAAAACCACCAACAATGTATTAGTATCCCTACTTTTCCACATCCCCTCCACAATCAATAATGATTTAGAGCATTTTTATATGACTATTGATAACTGATTTCTTCTTTTGAAAACTGCCTGTTCGAGGGGCGGAGCCAAGATGGCTGAGGGAAAGCAGTGACTATCTTGAGCTCTCTCCCAAAGCCCTCCAAATACCTAAAAAAATGGCTCTAAACAAATTCTAAAGCAGCAGAACCCACAAAAAGACAGAGTGAAACAAATTTCCAGCGAAAGACAGCCTGGATGGTTAATCAGAAAGGTATATCACGCTGGGCTGGGAGAGGAGTGCAGTTCGACGTGGGCGCAGTGACCCTGGAGCAGGCCTCAGAGGACTGAATTGCAGGCAGCTGTGGTGGTTTCCAGACTTCTCAACCCCTGAATGCCAAAGACAACTTAGAAGGTCAGTGGGAAGTCTGTGAGCTAGGTCTCAACAGCAAGCCTCGAGCATGGCCCGGGGCCATGGCTTTTTCCTGAGCTTCCAGCCCACAGACTGAGGGGGAATCAAATGGCTGATCAGAGGGGGACTGCAGGGATCTCTTTGCCAGTGCTGAGGCAGGAATCTCTTGCTTTACCTGTGCTTGGATCTGGATCACAGTTCTGAGGGGTGGTCCTGGGGAGAGGAGGAACACTGGTGGGGTGGAGCTTGTTGTGGTGGTGGAGAAGAAACACCTCGCCCCTTATCAAACCACCTTGGAAGAGTTGAAAATTTACAGGTCCCTGGAAGTATCTCTGAAAATGGCTGTACAAACTCCCGAAGCTTGGGACAGTACACTCTTCACATTGGAAGCAGACTTTTACCTTACTTAACAAAGAGTTTAAAACTCAAGTAATTGGCTGGAATCATGAGTAAGCAGTACAAAAAGAGTCAGACTATATTATCTTACTTTGGTGACAAAGAAGATCAAAACATACAACCAGAAGAAGACAACAAAGCCAAAGCTCCTACATCCAAAGCCTCCAAGAAAAATATGAATCAGTCCCAGGCCTTGGAAGAGCTCAAAAGGGATTTTGAGAAACAAGTAAAGATGTAGAAGAAAAACTGAGAAGAGAAATGAGAGTGATGCAAGAAAATCATGAAAAACTAGTCAACAGCTTGCTAAAGGAGACCCAAAAAAATACTGAAGAAAATAACACCTTAAAAAATAGCCTAACCCAAATGGCAAAAGAGGTCCAAAAAGCCAATGAGGAGAAGAATGCCCTAAAAAGCAAAATTGGCCAAATGGAAAAGGAAGTCCAAAAGATTACTGAAGAAAATACCTCCTTAAAAATTACAATAGAGCAATTGGAAGCTAGTGACTTTATGAGAAATCAAGACACTGTAAAACAAATCCAAAAGAATGAAAAATTAGAAAACAATGTGAAATATCTCGTTGGAAAAACAACTGACCTGGAAAATAGATCCAGGAGAGAGAATTTAAAAATTATTGGACTATCTGAAAGCCATGATCAAAAAAAGAGCCTAGACATCATCTTTCAAGAAATTATCCAGGAAAACTGTCCTGATATTTTAGAACCAGAGGGCAAAACAGAAATTGAAAGAATTCACCGATCTCCTCCTGAAAGAGATCCCCAAAGGAAAACTCCTAGTAATATTGTAGCCAAATTCCAGAGTTCCCAGGTCAAGGAGAAAATATTATAAGCAGCCAGCAAGAAACAATTCAAGTATTGTGGAAACACAATCAGGATAACACAAGATTTAGCTGCTTCTACATTAAGGGACCACAGGGCATGGAATATAATATTCCAGAGAGCAAAGGATTACAACCAAGAATCACCTACCCAGCAAAACTGAGTATAATCCTTCGGGGAAAAAAATGGTCATTCAATGAAATAGAGGACTTTCAAGCATTCTTTATGAAAAGACCAGAGTTGAATAGAAAATCTGATTTTCAAATACAAGACTCAAGTGGAACATGAAGAGGTAAACAGGAAAGAGGAAATCATAAGAGACTTATTAAGGTTGAACTGTTTACATTCCTGCATGGAAAGATGATATTTGTAACTCATGAGACCTTTGTCAGTATTAGGGTAGTTGGAGGGGAAAAATTATATGTACATATATATAGATATAGATAGATAGATAGAGGGCACAGGGTGAGTTGAAAATGAAGGGGTCATATCTGGAGAATAAAATTAAGGGGTGAGAGAGGAATATACTAGAAGAAGGAGAAAGGGAGAGGTAGAAGGGGGTAAATTATCCCACAAAAAAAAAAACAGAAAAGAAAAGGCTCTTACAGTGGAGGGGAAACAGGGGAAGGTGAGAGGGAATGAGTGAATCTTATTCTCATAGGATTTGACTTAAGGAGGGAATAACATACACACTCAATTAGGTGTGGAAATCTTTCTTACCCTATAGGAAAATGGGGGGGAAGGG